CATATCTTAGGGTTCATTTCCCTAACATCACCTTATCTGACCTTTTCTGCTTGACTCAGACATATACTAGATATTGCAAATAAGGGAAACCATGGGACCTGTGTTTCTTTGGGCCTGACTTACTTTACTTTTTATATCTCCTTGATTACATTTAACCTTTACTGAGCGTCTGACAGTTCGTAGCTTGGGTCTGCTGAGCCTGGATTTCCAGGATTTTTAAGTCACTCGGGAAACCACGAGTCTTCAGCAGTTCAAGCTGTTCTCTCCTAGACTAGGTTTTACAATTCTGGAGGCTGCAAGTCCAAGGTCAGGGGACAATGTGGTCTGATGCTGGTGAGAGCTGTCTTCCAGGTTGTAGCCTGATGGTTCCTCATTATAGACTCACCTGGTGGGAAGAGGGATGAGTTCTCTTACGTCCTTTTTACAAGGGCACTGATCCCCATTTCTAAAGACCCACCTTCATAGCCTAACCACCTCCCCCAACCCCTGCCTCCTGTGCCAGCACAATTGGGGCTAGGCTCTGACAGGAAATAAGTAAATAAAGTAAATAAATGAAGTATCTGCAAATAGCAGTACAAAGGGGTTTCAATCCAACATGTCAGTTATGACATGTCCAGCACCTCTGGATCCCAAGTCACCCCTCTTATTGTCCTCCTCTTTCTCTCCCAACCCCATTTAACATCTTTATAAAAATGCAGCTTGGGAAGGCATTTGGAAACAAAACCTGATATCTCTTTAATTAAAAAAAAAAGTAACATCCGTGTGATCTAATATGAAGTGGATTATGAAGTATTTTCTGAGTATCACCAGTGTTGGTGAGATAATTTAGCAATGTTACAGCATGCCTACCACCATCATACAGACTGTGAAGAGCGCGGGGCAGGCAGCCATAGGGAAGGCAGGGGTGCTGGGTAAAATGTGACAAAAATGGAAGGATGACACCAAAGGAGAAAGCAACAGGTGGTCCAGCAACATGAGCAGGGAAGGGAGCAGGAGGATGATAAAGGGGGTGGGGGAAAGGTCATTCTAGCAAATTCTGCTACTTCTCTCCTCACCCCCCCCTAAAAAAAACAGTGAAGAAAAGGTAAGAATCTGCTAAAATGGGAACCAAATAGACACTAGCACACTAAAGCAAGGGCTGTAGAAAAAATAAAATAAAACAGGAAATCTGGTGTAGGACGGTTCCGCTATTGCTGCTGGGTGCACCCTTGCATTTCCCTGGCCTCTGCAAAACCCTGCAGCCAAAAGAATCTTAACTGCTTTTTTCCATCGCTAGGGGTGTGCAAGCAGGGTTTATTCTCCTCCCCCACCCCTAGCTGTCTCCAGGAGCTCAGGAATCTCTCACAGGCCACTAGAGTAAGCAGAGGTCAGAGGGAAGAACAAAAGGCTGGTAGGAACAGAGTGACCTCCAGCAACAATCTGAGTCTCTGAGGACTATCTTGTGCTGTTTGTGGTGTCCAATTGCTTGGCCCAGCGCAAGCTTCACCATTCGGGTAACCACAGAGAGTGCTCTTCCTGAGAGAGCATTCTAGGAATCCGAAGAGAGGAAGAAGGGAGAAGGGAAGGAGCCAGGGGAAGAAGGAGGAAGAGAGGGAGGGAGAGAAGGAGGAACAGAGAGAAGGAGAAAGGGAGGGAAGGAAGAAGGGAAAGAGGAAGAAAGGAAGAGAGAGGGAGGAGGGAAGAGAAGGCAAGCAGACAGACGCACGCTATTTCCTGCAGGTACCCATGGAAAAGGTAGCAAACAATGGCCAACTCTGTCTTCATCCATTGGCACACTTCTCTCCACTTTCCAAGGACTGAGTCGCTACAGTTTCCCTCTGGGCCCTTCAGGCAGATGTTATTCTCCATGCATGGATCTGAACAGCCATTAGGACAGAATTGCAGTGAACTGCCTCATTGGATAGACTTGGCCCCAAGGTGAGCTCTTCCTCCCTGGTGGGACAAATCATTGTCTCCAACCTGAGCACCAAGGGCATGTTGGAAAGCTGGGCTGGTGATGCAGAAATACTGAGACAATGCTTCAAACAAACTTCAGGCCCAAGTGGGGCTCTTGATTTCTTTACCAACTCTGAAGATGTCTGTCTGGGAGCTTCTTGAGGGATGAAAACTCTCAGAATCTCCTTTAAAACCCACAGGTTGGGAACACTAGAAAAACTATGATTTGGCCTTCTAAGTAGAGTTGGCACCATCCATGGTCTCTCAGGTGCTGTGTGATCCCTTTGCTGAAACTGCTAGATTGTGATGCCCTGCGGGTGTCCGGGGAGCCTGCCTTCATTTGCATATTTCCTGACTGACAGCAGGCTCCTGCCAGTGCCGGGGGCCAGGGTGGCTCTCCGTGGGCGGGGCAATCAGTTTCATTTCCTTGTTGGCTGGAGACTCACAGCCCCAGCGGGCTCCTGTCACAACCAGGTGGCGACCGGAGAGCGTGAGGAGGGGTCCATCTCTCCTTCTCTTCGCACAGCATCTGGCAGACTTGAAGGGTGCGAATGGGCAGAGCAGAACTTCTAGAAAGAAAGATGAGCGCTCAGGATCCCTCAGATTTGTGGAGCAGATCGGATGGGGACGCTGAGCTGCTCCAGGACTTGGGGTAAGAAAGCTGATCTCCTTTACAAACTGCTTCTTGGATGGATTGTTCACTGGGATCGTTCACTTTCATCTGCGATGATGGTCAGCCCCTCTCCATCTTGGTCTTTTCTTTTCTATCCTGATCTTCTAGTCTTGATTCATTTGTGTCTGTGAGGTATCTTCCTTGGGGGTGGAAGGGGGTGGAGGGGACCCATTCATTGTCAAAAGCGCAGATGACTTTTTCAGTAGATGGAGAAAATGTGGCCACAATCTACTGCTGGATAATCTTCTAGAATGGGGACAGCGCTGGGACGTTTGAGTTGGCTTAGCCTGGTTTCTTTGACGTTGATCTGGTCGGGAAGGAAAGAGTTCTGATCATTGCTCTGTGGACTGGGAGGCGGTGTTGCTAGTGCCATAAACACAAAACCTGCTCTGCAGTGGGATTTTTTTTTCAAAAGAGAGAGAATGAGGAAGTTTCTGCAGCACAATGTTTATGAGTCCCCGAGTGCATGCTTCTCTGCAGAGACAACGTTGAACCTTTTAAATACCAACAGGGTAGGAACAGGATGAAACTTGTGCCTCAAACAGATAAGTTTAGGTATGTGGCACCATCAGAAACTTGCCTGGAAGAAGGAATCCTGGTGACACAACTACACAGCTCATCAGAATATTTAGTAAAAGAAACAAGATTACACAAGAGAGGGAGGGAATTTCCTAGAGAAATCAACCCTTCAGTCTACACCCTGGAATACATCCCCTTACAAGGCTGGATTAGCAACAGTGTTTCCAGTTAGGTGAAACCTAGATCTTTGATCTGGATTCTTAACTGTCAGTCTTTGCAGCCCCAAGACATAAGACCAGCTTCCATCTTCTTACAAAAGATGCAAACAGTGCTGGGATGTAAGGTAAAACACTTACCTAGCAAGTACTACATCCTGGCTTTGACCCTCAGTACCACAAAAGAAAAGACAAAACAAAGCAAACAAACCAGTTAAAAAGAAAACAACAAACAAGATGAAAACAACACCTATCAGCTGTGAAAGCCTTACCTATCTGTCACAGATCCATGAAAGCTAATCTGAGATGGGATTTCAAATCTCGGCTTTGGTAGCTAAGATTACAGGTGTCAACCACTAAGCCCTCTGTCTTCATGGCTTACTTCTATATTACTTCAGTGGGTTATTTAAATAGCTAAGTTCTCATGTTCACTCTTTTATAGATACCAACAGATAATGAAGTGGTTCAATTTGAGAAAGTATTGGTTCTTTGCTTTCTTCTTCAAGGCTCTGGGATGTGTAAATCCTATACCTTGACCTACATACAGCAAATCTATCCCTCACACCTGTAGTCTTCTAAAGTGAAACAACTCTATTCATTTCCACGCCTCATTTACAATAAAAACATCAGTCCAAGGCCATGTCTCACATCCTAAGTGCATCAATGCAAAACAGAAATAAAACCATCTTGGTGGCTTGGCTTCACACTGGGTGCCAGGGGGAGCAGAGAGGGTGTGGCGGGGGGTGAAAAGCTCTGGGTGGACAGACTTTGCTTCTTTAAGGCAGAGATACGGATGCCAGGGTTGTTCAGGCTGCAGAAGTTGAAGAGAGTGGCAGAGGAGAGGAACCATTTTTATCATTGCCATGCTGTGCCCCCCGTTCCTCCCCTCTCCCCCAGAGAGGGAAGGAACCCTCTAGCCCTGGGCTGTATTACCAAAAGACCAGCTTCCCGACAGCTCCTGGGACTCTGCAGTGCCTATGACCCCTGCCCTTGGCACGGGGCAGACATCTTGGGTGGTTCTATCTCATCCAATGCTCTTTGTAGCAGATCCTGAGCCAGCCAGCCTGTGGGGGGAGGGAGAGGCGTGGCATCCAAAGCAACACGAGATGGGCTACTTCACAGCCCCCCCTGGGCTGTGCAAAGTATGCATCCAGCAGGACAAGAGTTGGAAGCTATGCACCAGCCACGGAGGAGGGCCAGTAGGGTTTCCTCTATCAATATAGATAGGGACAGTGTGGAGGAATTGTGTTTCAGAGGCAGATCTTTCATAGTAAAGATTCCTGATGAGTTCCCAGTGACAGGTTAGTAAGGCAGAGCTGGACCCGGGAGCAGGAAACAGGAAGAGAGAATGTAGTTGTCATGGCAACTGGAAGCCATAAGTGAAGATGTCAGCAAAGATGAGGATGGAGACACACAGAGCCTTCTGTAACTGCGACCCAGCAATACTAGAACAGGCATGAGCTCCTTCCCTGGAGCCAACTTGGGAGGCAAAAGGTAAGAAAGGCTGCTGTTGAGTTCTTTTCTAAGAATCCCTTGAGTTTTAGCATCCAGTTGCCAGGAAAAGCCCTCAGCAACTCTCCTTATGATTAATGCCTTCATCCGTGCCTTTCTAGCCTCAGTCCAGAGGCCACCTATGCAAATTCTCCAACAGACCCATAAAAAGCTACCATCATAGAGCTTTCGGTACTAGAATGAAAAATGATTTTTATTGCCCCCAATACAAACAAAATGCCACTGAAGAGAAGGACAAGAAAACAATAAATAAGTACTAGAGACAGCATGTAAGAAACTGGCAATAAGAACTGCTAGTTAATTACTCAACAATCCCAACAATTCTTGGGAATAACCAAAAGAATTGTTATACCCAAGACAGTGTGGGGACAGTATAGCTATATGATGTAGGTACAGACACAAAAAGGACATAGTAAAAATGATTTTGGCTATTTTAAAATTAAATATTTAAGGTTTCTGCTCAGACATTCCCTCAAGTGAGAAATTGATCACTTTTTTTTGTTTTTTGTTTTTTGTGTTTTTTAGTCTCTTACTGTTCACATGTGTACAAAAAGGTTGAACTAGATCAAACGTCAGAAGATTTTTTTTTTTTGTCAGTCATGGGGCTTGAACTCTGGGCCTGGGCGCTGTCCCTGCGCTCTTCAGCTTAAGGCTAGCACTCTACCACTTGAGCCACTGCGCCACTTCCAGTTTTCTGGTGGTTTATTGGAGATTAGAGCCTCACAGACTTTCCTGCCCGGTTTGGCTTTGAACCACGATCCTCAGATCTCAGCCTCCTGAGTAAATACAGTTGTGAGCCACTAGCACCCAACCAGATAACTTTTTCTACACATATTTAAAGGTCCAACTAAAAAATGGCTGGGACTGCCATTTTAATGAGGCCTCTGTTAGTTCTGTCATACTGAGCAGGTGGCTGGCAAGATTGGCTTTTGGCTGATGGCTTGCTGACCTAGGGAATAGTGCCTTCTCTGAGGTGCTCTGTTGTATAAATAGCTCTGCTCTTCCAAAAGCATCCATGATCCAGCTTTACATCAGAGACTCAAGAGCAGAGAAATTAGGTTCCTTGAAGACCCAGAATACCTGGGTGCAAAGCACATTCTTATTTCCCAAGCCAAGTAGCCTTTCTGCTGCGACTGGTTATCTACTGTCCACCCATATGCACCACACCATGCCATCCCACACAATACGCCATTTCCTCTCCCAACCTCACATTCAGTGAGGGATGATCATCATTTCATAGATGGAACCAGCGACATTTGTCAAGGACGCAGCCCAGATCACAGACTTCCTAGTAGCAAAGCTATGAGACCACCCATGAGCTGGCCTTAGGAGTTAGTGCACTGCTTACACATAACACACTGCTGCTGTGTGAAGATCCCAACTCAGAAGCCAACCTTTGATTCTGGTGGTGAGTGAGTGCTTGCTACCCACAGACAACTGGCTTCAGCCTTTATACGCACAAACCAATGGGAAGTGTGAAGAAGGGTCTCTAGCGGCACACTGGGTTTACAAGTCCGTAAACCTTCTTATCCAGAACCCACATGTTTAGGTAACTTCCTAGCTTTTCAAACTTCTCTCTTTTCTACCAAACGAGTACAACTTCTTAGCGTTTCTGTGAACAGAGGGAAGAAAAGGAAGTTCTGCGATTACTAAACCAACCGAGTTTCTCATAACAAGGCTTTGTATTCTGCAGGTGTATACAGAGCCCCACCAGTATCCTACTGAATGAGACGTTTAATAAGTGCTGTATGTAAATTCCCTTTTCCGGACAAGAAAAAAAAATCAAGCAGGCTGAATGATAGAATATCAGTAAAAAGTATAAAGTGCTTACATAGGTGTCACACTGGATGGAGCAGAAAAGCTTGTTTCTCCTACGTGTGCACGTGCATTTCTGCAATCTTGGATTCTAGAAGTGGGTGGTGAGTGGACGGCGACTCTCGATGGCCAGCAGATAGCAAGTATCTAGTGCACCTGGGCTCAAGGGAGTTTCCTCCTCTGACGTGTTGTTCTGTTCCTCCTGTGGGTGGCTTCTTTCTGCTTACAAATGGCAATGTGTCCCACAAGTTTTGTTTTGTTTTCCTATTGGGTGGAGATGCTACACTGCATTCCTCATTCTTCCATTCATTCATAAATCTGCCAAGCTCTTCCATTCATACATAAATCCACCGGTTGAAGTACTTTATACAAGGTTGTGTGGGGATATGGAAATAAGGAAGAAATGTCTGCAGGACCAGAATGTACCTGCAGGTGTACTGTGCACATCCCGGAGTGGAGACAGACACAAGGCATGTCCCAGGAAGGAAGGAGGTCACTGGCCTTGGAACTAATGTGACTTTTGTCCGCTCAACTTAGACATTTTATACAGAGGGGTGAAAACAAACAAACTGACAAACAATAGGAGAAGTTAAGGAATAAAAGTGGCAAAACAGGATGGTTCAGAAAACAGAGTCCCTGTGGCCTCTCTTCTACCCCGCCCCTGGAGACCTTCTGGGCCATCAGCATTCAGTCAGCCTGCTTTGGGAGAAGCGACGGCTTCTCCTGGATTTCATCGCATACTTATATGTTCACAACCAGATGCAGTTTTTAAAGCCTGTGTTGATTGGCTCCTAGTAACTCCTGTGAAAGACAAGTAGTACTCTGAGGCCATATATGTGTTCCCACTCCCTGCTGGGACTTGCTTGACATTAACCCCTCCCCCCTACACACACACACACACACACACACACACACACTTTGCTGGTAGCCACTGAGCAAGGAGGCTCTATCTCTCTCCACTTCCTGCTTCTCCTCCTATGGCCCTGCCCAAGAGCATCGGCCCATGTTCTGTGTTGTTTCAAAACATCTCTATCTTCAAAAGCATGTGAGAGCCATCATTTATTTTGATACCAGTATGATCATTATACATGTATACATGTATAATGATCATACATGAGCATGTCAAGTTTTAGAGACACATGTTGAATTATTTAGGATTCTCCATGAATGCTTAATGAAGCAAAGCACCAGGTGCAGAGGTGACGTTTCCTGATGGAGTTCAACCATACCTCTACAATTTGCCAACCCTCTGCTCTCCCCTTGGACTGCACCCAGTGGTCTCCCTGTCCTGACCTGGGGGCTGAAAGTTTGGCATTTGGCCCGCTGATGAAGGGAAATGTTGTTGGGGAGTGTCTGGAAGGAAACCCCACCACAAGAGGAATCATCTTGTTTTGCGCTTTGTAAAAGTGCGTTCCTGGTTTATTTCAGGTGGTATCATGGCAACCTCACGCGCCACGCGGCGGAAGCGCTTCTCCTCTCTAATGGACAGGATGGAAGCTACCTTCTGAGAGACAGCAGTGAGCACACTGGGCAGTACTCTCTCTCTGTCAGGTAGGGTGTTTTAGAGTCAGTTCCACACTTAACTTTACCATCCCTCAGGTGGCCAGATAAAAACTCCCGGCTTTCTTGTTGGGCTAGCAGGCTAAAGGATTTCATCCACTAACAGGTTTTTTTTGTTTGTTTTAATGTGGGAACTGGAAGAGGTTTAGAAAGTTCTTTCATCTCAACCTCTTATTTGACTGATGAGCATGAAAACCAAAAGATGAGCCAGCTAGCATCTAATACATCAACATTAGAAATAGTACCAGAAGCCGGGCGCTGGGTGGCTCATACCTGTAGTCCTAGCTACTCAGGAGGCTGAGATCTGAGGATCACGGTTCAAAGCCAGCTCGGGTAGGAACATTGTGAGACTCTTATCTCCAATAAACCACTAGAAAACCAGAAGTGGTGTTGTGGCTCAAGGGGTAGAGTGTTTGCCTTGCCTTGAGCTGAAGAGTGCGGGGACAGCACCCAAGCCCAGAGTTCAAGCCCCATGACTGACAAAAAAAGAAAGAAAAGGAAATAGTACCAGAATCTGAATCCCTGAGTCCTGGTCCTTTTGGAGTGAGTGCCCTTTTGGGCCTTGCTGCACATTCTGGAAAACCAGAATGATTTGTGATTAGACAACTTGTATAGTCATTTTTAAAAAGTGGGTGCTATGCAACTTTTGGCAGGAGAGCGATATTGGGATTTGGCCCCAAGGCTGCTTGCTGAGTTCTGAAACTTTGACCCCTTGGTCCAGGCCCCCTGTCTTTTTGATTTTTTTGTGCTTTTCTGGGATGTGTGTGTGTGTGTGTGCACACACACATTATGCATATTGATCCTGGAGCTTGAACTCAGGGCCTGGACACTGCCCTTGGGCTTTTTTTTGCTTAAGGCTAGTGGTCTACCACTTGAGTGACATCTCTGCTTCCAACATTCTGCTGGCTAATTGGAGGTAAGAGTCTCATGGACTTTCCTGCCTGAGCTGGGATCTCAGACTGGTGAATAGCTAGGCTTATAGGTGTGTAGCCACTGGTGCCCAGCCTTTGGTTTGTTTCAAAGGTAGGATCTTGAGATTGGCCCAAAACCATGATCCACTTCCCCATTAGTCTGATTATAGGAGTGTACTGTATTTTCTATAAATAGTCTTTCTTTTTTTCTTTCTTTCTTTTTTTGTTAGTTGTGGGGCTTGAACTCAGAGCCTGGGTGCAGTCCCTGAACTTTTTTAAAACTCAAGGCTAGTGCTTTATCACTTTGAGCCCCAGCTACACTTCTGGTTTTCTGTTTTGAACTGTGCTCCTCAGATTCCAGCCTCCTGAGTGGCTCGGATTACAGGATTGAGCCTGACAGTGCCTGGCACTGTCTTTCTTTTTTAAGGCTTCATATTCTACCTACGGTAAGTAAGTGAACTATTCCACTCCAGGTACATACAACCATGCAATGACTGTCAATTCCAGACAGAGTTTCTTCTAGCAGCCTCCTTCTCATTTAGCATTCCAGACCCAAGAAGCCAACCCAGCTTATATCCTCATGGGTGGTAGCTGGTTCTCATTGGCCTCTGTTACTCTGTCTTCTGTACACATGCAGCAAGTCACTTGAGTCATCAAGTAGTTCTCCAAGGATTAGGCTGGGGATATGAAGACTCAACTAATTCCCCTCCATCATTCCCCAGTGACCTACAACTGCCAGTGTATGACTATCCCAGTAGTACCTCCATGTACCAGTTTTTCTTTTCAGTATAGCTCCTCAGGGTGAGCTGGCATGAGAAACTTTTTCATTTCTCTCCTCCTCTACATGGCTACCGCCTCCTTGTCACTACACAATGGCAGGACCTCCTTCTGCTTCTCCTTAATCCTTCTGTCCATCCAAATCAGCCATGGTTTTTGTTTGTGTGTTTGTTTTAATCTCTTCTCTCAATGAAAGAAAACAAGACTGCTTAAGAACATAGGTCTCTAGATGATTGGTAACAAGCTTCAATAAGCTCAAAAGCCAAGAGAAAACATACATGCTTAGCTTCTTTTTTGTGTTTTAGAGCCTCTTTATTGATTCCTATGCTGTATAACAAATCATCACCAAAAGCAGCCAGTAGCTTAAAAGAGCATAAGTTGATCATTTCAGTTTCTGTAGACCAGACATCCAGACCCAGTGCAGATTCCATTAGAATCCTACCAGGCTGGCGTGAAGCTGTTAGCTGAGGCTGTGGCTCCTAATAGGAGCTCAGGACCCCCTTCTTCATGTCTTGCTTTTTCTCTTTTCCCTTGTTGCTGAATAATTGAGGTCCCTAGTCTCTTTCAGCTGTCACCCAGGGACCAGTGTCACCGCATGGAGACCACATGTCACATGGCCTCTATGGCACAGATGTTTGCTATCTTCCATTCCAGCCAAAGCATGTCTCTTTGATTGCCTCTTCTGTGAACAGGGACAATTCCCTGTTCATGAGATGAGCTCATATGATGAGGGCAAGCGTACACATGTAATCTTCCCATATTAAGATAAATTACTTTAGGGAATTGGTATTCTGCAAAGTCCCCTGCTAACTTTATCTAGCATAGCGTTTGACCGAATAATTGGAACATGATGTATGTACTCCATCCCAGAATGCTTTGTCACCCCTTTTTTTGCCCACAACGAATCTACAGGCCCACTTGAAAAGGAGAGGGGAAATAGTGGGTAATGGAGAAAATGGGAGTTCAAAAGAAAAAAACAACTCATGAATATTTTTCATGTATTCACGTTTTGTTTATCCACTTTCTAAGTAATAAATATGGAAACTTTTGAGATGAGTGGTAGCAAGACCTTTGCTTTCTTTGACTGACAGCCACACAGTTGATATCTATCATATGGTTAGGCTGCAGGTGCTTTATTGAATGGACCTGGCAAAAATCACAACACAGGGAATTATTGGATTGAATATTTTAATTAACTTTTCATGTATACATGTCTTATCTCAATGCTTAGGAAATAAGCTCCTTATGAATAGATGGAATATGTATTTCATCTTCATGAAACATTAAAATATGAATCATTGCATTCCATTGTATGTACTTAGGAATTCTATTTAAAAACCTACTGGAAATGGCATGAGCCATAGGCCAGTTCAGAAGGATGATTGTATGTGCTCAATTATTCAGTCATTCCTTTAAGACTAAATATTTCAAATATCCACTCTGCATCAGTCACATAAATAAGTATTGAGGAAGTGCAAAGACTTTTGTTTTCAGGAAGCACAATCTCAAAAGGCCAATAACACCTCAAAATTACTACAAAGCAGAGCATAGTAGATAACATAAAAGAAATGTTTGGGTTATTCAGAAGAGGAAAAACACTCGGCTTAAGGAGGAAGAGATATTTAAAGTCAAGGTGGGTAGGTAGCTGGGTTTTGTCCCAGCACAGACAAGGAGGAAGACACTGCAAGGGAAAGGAACAGTAGGAGCTAAGGGTCAGAGACAGAAACACTGGAGACAATAGTAGGTCCAGGGCAAGGATTCTGAAGGTATGATCTCTAGACTAGCAGCATCAACCAAGGACATGTTAGAATATAAATTCTCTGCTCCACCTACTGAATCAGAATCTGGGTGTGTTTTTATGGTCTAATGCAATTTAACACTGCAATGTGGGCTGTGTAGAGTAGGAGATGGGGCTAAGAAGATAGGGTGGGGGTGAATAAAGTACAGAGCAGTATTTAATTTTATATTCTACCTCATTTCAAAAATAAAGTCGAGGGCTGGGAAGGTAGCTCAGTGGTAGAGTGCTTGCCTTGCATTCATGAGGCCCTGGGTTCAATTCCTCAGCACCACATAAGTAAAAGAAAAAAGCCGGAAGTGGTGCTGTGGCTCAAGTGGTAGAGCATTAGCCTTGAGCTGAAGAGCTGAGGGACAGCGCCCAGGCCCAGAGTTCAGGCCCCACGACTGACAAAAATAAATAAATAAATAAATAAAGTCGAAAGCAGGGTGTCAGTGGCACCTACATATAATCCTATCTACTCAGGAAGCTAAGATGTGAAGATCTTGGTTCAAAGGAAGCCCAAGCAGACAAAAGAGTATCTCCACTTAGCGAATAAAATGTCAGAAATGGAAGTGTGGCTCAAGTGGTAGAGTGCCAGACTTGAGCCAGAATTCGAGGCCATGAGTTCAAGTCCCAGTACCAGCACAAAAACAAAAATGAAATAGGAAAATGGCAACATGAGAAATTTGGTATTTTATTCAGTAGGCAGTAAAACAAACAAGATAGGAAAAGTACTGGGCTCTCATAACTAATTGACAGAAGCAAAATTCTATTCCCAAACAAGTCAGGGAAGAGCAGGAATATGGAGAGGTTGGTACGTGCCATTTCTATGCTGCCATCATAGCTCATGTTCTGCAAGGGGGTTCATATTCAAACACTATTTCGCCAAGTCTGAGAAGAGGTAAAGTTGCCTCTGGCCTTTCGGGAGAGTGAGAAATTGGAAGGCCCATGCTATGCCATTAGTGATGTTCTTTAAAACTACAATGATTCCAATGATTACATATTCTCAGTTCCTAGGAAAGGTTAATGGCAATGCTAATGCCTCTGACTACATTTTGCCTTCAAAAAGAAAACATTCATTTATTAAATAACATTCAATGCTTCTTTTTTCCCTTTTAGAGCCAAAGACTCAGTCAAACACTTCCATGTTGAATATACCGGATATTCATTTAAATTTGGCTTTAATGAATATTCATCTTTAAAAGATTTTATCAAGCATTTTGCCAATCAGCCTTTGGTTGGAAGTGAGACAGGTAAGATGTTTTAGTCTATTTTCTGTTGATATTAACTGAATGTCTGGCCCTGTTTGGTTTATTTTGAAAGTCTGAGTCTGGCATCCACATTTGCTTTGAAGTAGGTGACTTCGTGTGGATTGGGTCTTGCCAAAGGGCACCATACAGTGAGAGACATAGCCAAAAGAGCTTTTATAAATGAACTCATTCTTGATATAATCCATATCCCAATTAGTCCATTAAGCTCACAAAATTAATATATTCATGAGGGTGAGCCCTAATTATCTCTAAAAGGTCCCACCTGATTTCTCCTCCCAGTATCTCATAATGGAGATTACTTTCCAAGGTGAGGTTTTGGGCAGCCCTGGGATTTGAACTCTGGGCCTCACACTTGCTAAGCAAGTGTTCTATCTAACCACACCTCCAACCCTTCAACATGAGGTTTGGAAGTGAGAAACCATATTTGAACCATTGTATACTGTAAACAGTTACTTCCGAGATAATGTTTCAAGATGGAGAACCAAGGATGATTTCAAGTAACTTCTTAGGTGTGTCACTTCTATTGAATTTTGTGTATATAATTTGCAGTTTGGTATATTTACAAACAATTTTCTTATTGTTTCATTGCTCTAGGGTTATATATTAGCATCTCAGCATTAGGAGGAAATAGTCCACTTTGAGTTAATCAAAACATATTATTTAGTGCATTGATTAAAGACACATAATTTCTTTCAATACTACATGTATATTAAACAAAAGAAGGATAAGAGCAAGCAAAGACTTTCTGGTTCCTTATAATTACACTTATGTGTGGCCTATACCTATGGAACTTAATTTTGAACTTTAAAAAAAACTAAGTTTACACTTAAATGGCTGGATATTGACTAAAAAATATGGACTTGAAAGTGTCCTCTAGAGTGATACAATTATGTTTATATTGCCTTGATTTCTTATTAGTTTCAAACTGGATTTAGATATGGCTGGAAAAGGTAAGAGTCATACCAGAAAATTCATGTTGAATAATAATAATAATAAGATAAAGAATCCATGTTCTTTGTCAGCTTTCCATCACTGTAACAAATTACCAGAGGCTAACTAACTTATGAGGAAAGGTTTACTTGGCTTAAGGCTACAGTTCAGTCTAGGGTTTCTTGGCCCCATGTCCATCACAGCAGGGAGCATGAGGCAGATTAAGCTGCTCACCTCATGGTCTCAATATTGTCTTCTATGGCCATGTCCCCCCAAACCTAACTTCTTTCCACTAGGCCCTATTTGCTAATGTTCTTCTCCTCAAAGGGCCTAGCTGGGGAAAAGCTTTTACCACATAGGCATTTCAGTGACAGCACACGCTGTCCCAGTACTAGAATTGTCCATCTTGTTTGTCTAAACAAAGTCAGTATGGGGTCACCTCTATATTTGTGGTACAGAACAAGAACTTGTTTTGTCCTAAACGGTGAGAAATAAATCTCAGGTCATCACAGGCTTGGAAATTCCAAGAACCTGTAGCACAGAGAAACTTAAGACTTAAAGTACAGCCTGTCACCATGAACTTGTGCAGACGTGTTTTCCTGGTAAACTTGGCAGTGGCTTTGCTGCTAATCACTGGGGAGGTAAGAGATGCCAGGATAGCATCTTCCTTTGCTGTTGCTTATGTGGCCTGAATAGACCCTCCTCAGAATCATGCAGCATCTAATACAGATTTTAAAAAACAACACAATAGAAACCACAAAACAGTTGATTCTCTTAATACTGACATCACTAGGTTTGTGGTAGACTATTCTCAGCTGTGATCTTTTTAAAATTCTGACTGAAAGTCTCCCAATCAGCCCTAAAACTTACTTCATCATTAGCCAGTACCAGTTAGTCCAGTGTGGGGAGGTGTTTATTTCCATTGCTACTCTGGCCTTGATAAATGTTTAAGCTTCTCAGACATCTTTATGGGTAGATTGACTACTTGTGTCCAACCCGACACTTGATTTTATTCAATTCTTGGTGACTGACGTGGAGAGAGGGTTTTTGAACCCGGAGCTTTGTTTTGACTACTTTGTTTTGTCCTTCTCTATGTCTGCCAGAACCTGAACCCAGAGCAGGTTCTTTGAGTGGATGGACAGATGGATGAATGGATGACAATAAGTAGAACTCTGAAGCCTGCAACACCATTGTAATTAACATTGTGTCATTCTTTTCTCTCCAAGTAAAGCTTGTTTTTTTTCTTTTTTTCTTCCTTTTTTTTTTTTTTTTGCCAGTCCTGGGGGAACTCAGGGCCTGGGCACTAAAGTCCCTGAGCTTCTTTTGCTCAAGGCTAGCGCTCTACTACTTGAGCCACAGCACCATTTCTGGCCTTTTCTGTTTAGTGGAATTGAGCCCGGGCTTAATGCATGCTACGCAAGCACTACTAAAACACATTCTCAGACTGCCTCTTTCTTTCTTTCTTTCTTTTTCTTTCTTTCTTTCTTTCTTTCTTTCTTTCTTTCTTTCTTTCTTTCTTTCTTTCTTTCTTTCTTTCTTTCTTTCTTTCT